TTCCCCTCATCCTTGAAGGTTTGCTCGGCCTGCTTCAACATACCATGAAGCTCGGTGAGAGTTTTCTCCATGCTGTGCATATTATAGTTCATCTTGAACTGATCATAACTTTGTGCAGCGAGTGGATAATGATGTCAATTGCCATCTTGGTTGAATACCCAACATCAAGCCTTTCCATGTTCTCAAATAATCCAATCATTTTAAGAACATGCGGGCTGACTGGCTTTCCTTTCTTGAGCTTGCTCTCAAGGATCTGCCTGTGGGTTTCAAACCTTTCAGTTCGGGCCCTCTCTTGAAACATATTCTAAAGTTCAGAAATGATCTCAAAAGTCGTCTCCTTTTCAAAGAAAGTCTTTTAAGGTCCGGAGACATAGTGGCTAGCACGATGCACTTGACATCCCGATTGGCACTTTGCCATCAGTTAAGGGCAGCCTGAGTAACCTCCTCATTGGGAGTGTCGGGCATTTCCTCATCAAGGACATATTCCTTTTTCTCTTGCATGAGAACAATACGCAAGTTCCTTTGCCAATCAAGAAAATTTGGCCCACTCAACTTCTCATTGTCGAAAATTGAGCGTAATGAAAACTGGTTGTTTGAGTTATTTGCAGACATTTCTCTACAATTGAAAGAATTTGAAATGGAAAAACCATTTATAAACCAATAAGTTTGAAATTTAAAGCATTCATGCAAATTTTCAATCTTATTGAGCATTTTATCCACGCATCAACATTTGTCCCTTTTAGGCGAGAATAAAATGATTCCAAGATCCCAAAAATCAAAAAGTGATTAAGCATGCTTTGGCTTGTCTTAATACTAATTCCCGATTTATGTGTGATAAAAATTAATTCTAAATTTATTTAAGAACCAATTTAGAGAAAAATGAAAATAAAACAAGTCCAACTTAATTAAATTCAATTTTAATAGTGCACAAGCCTAAATTATTCAAGAACCATTCTTTAAATCAATTTAGGTCTATCTTGATGCTACAAAATTGAAGGGCTACACTCATAATTAATTTAACCAAATATAAATTAATAATGAGATTTGACAAAATTAAAGGGGTTGGAAAATTAAACCCTTTCATCCAATGAAAAATTTCCAACTCTTACTTGTGCATAATTGAAAAATTACATCTTCCAATATGAAGATTAATTAAATTTCAACAAGAAGTTTTGAACTTTTAGGACTTTAATCAACTCAAAAATGATTAAATCCAAAAATTAGTTCAACATGGAATTTAGCAATCAAAGTTCCAACCAAATAAACAATTAAAGATTGGATCTTTAACATATTAGGGACTTCAAAATTACAAGTTCACCATGAACATTCACACTTGAAGCAATTTATTTGCAAAAATGTGAAAAATGAACTCACCAAATTAAGCACCAATTATGACTTCATAAACATGCTTAATAAGGTTTATAATTGCAGTAGATTAGTGATGCAACCATACATTTAATCTACTTTTAACATGCTATAATTAATCAAGGCTTAAAGATTTAAAAATTTTCGTCAAAAACGAAAAACCCCTCGAAAAACATGTTTCTGGGTGGATTTTGGCTTCTGGACAACCCTTATAAAGAATCAAAACGATTTAGAACATCGATTCCACCCAAAAATCACTATTTTTGAGTTAAAATTTGGGTTCGTTGGCCAAAATTAGTAAAATACGAGATTAAAACTAATTCAAAATCACTGTTGGGTTTCGTAGCATCCAACGCTACGCGAAAGAGAAACCTGCCCAAGACCCGCTCAGTAATTAAAGCAACTAAACATTTAATCACATAATTAATAACATAAGAAAGAGAAAAAGAAAAGACATTCTTACCCTCGACGCGTGCTTCGCTCGATTCACGAGCTCTTACTTCAAAGCTCGAGCCTCGCAAGTGCGACGACCTTCTACGGCTCGCACCCTCGATCGGACCCGAACGGTCTTAATCCCGAAGGTTAGTCGGGACTTGACCAATAAAAACTTAAGGTATTCTCACTTTGCTAAGGAGATGCCTTTTAGTTCCACTCAAGTCTTTTTTCCCAAACCCAAAACTTGGGTATTTATAGGGAATGGAGACTTGATCTCCCTTCTCCCATCAATGTGGGAGATTTGCATTTTCCTCTATTTTAATTTAATCCAAAACAAAATAAAAATGCAAGGCAATCAACAAGCTCCAAGTGTCACAAGGAGGGAGAGAGTAGGTGAGGACCACCCAAGGGGGAGACAAAATCACCTTGCTCCCCAAGCCAAGCACCAACCCTTGGTCCCCACACAAAAATCGGACCAACTCACCACTTGGCTGGCTGTAGTCTGCCAGGTGGCTCCTAGCACCAAGGCTGGGCTGCTGGCTAACCTGCCCACGCACATGCGCAGCCAGCTAGCACACACAGCCAGCCAGCACATGCATACGCTGTTGCCTGGTGCGTGCTGCTGTGCGAGTGGCGTGGTGCTTGGTTCTGCTTGCTAGCATACACGCACAACCCAGCATGCCTAGCACGCTGCTGCTTGGTGCGGCTTGCTAGCACACACACGCACAGCCTAGCATGCCTAGCACGCTGCTGCTTGGTGCGTGATGATGTGCGATAGGCGAGGCCTAGGGTGCTTGGTGCGTGCCATTGCCTATCACGCATATCCCATAGCACAAGCACGCATAACAAGCTGCGGTGCGTGTGCTATGTGTTGCCTGCTTGCGGTAGCGAGGCCCAGCAAGCACTTGTGTGCTGCTGGCCTTGCGATGCTTGCGGGCTGTGCTTGGCCATGCCTAGCATGTTGCGATGGCTGGTGCTGCTATGCTAGCAAGCACGCCCAACCATGCTAGCACAGCCACAACACGCACACACGCATGGCACGCATCTTGCGATGCTTGGGCCATGCGATGTGCGTGTGCTAGGAGATGCTAGGAACCCATAGGTTAGTGACCTCGCCTAGCCTAGCACTCGCATGGCTAGGCCAATGCGAGGCTACGACTAGGCTCGAACTAGTTGCTTGCTTAATTCCTCGTCTCATCGAATTCTAAATTCGACTCGACTTGCAACGCTCGGTCTCGTCACTCTAAGCTCGATATCCGACGTCTTTGTTCGTAATACTCTAATGACTCATCTAATCCTTCAGATTGATTCGTTGATTTAGATCGGTTATTCGATTGGGGTGCGACCCGAAGGGTTCAGTTAAGATTAAGCCGTAATATTAATGATGCATTAATATTACTGATCGGAATTGGCCTCCACCTAGGCCTTCCGATCACTTGACCTCACTGAAGAATTAGGTTTCCAATAATTCCGAACCCTCTATTGGAATAATACACTTGTTGGAAGGACACCATTCCTTTCACTCATGTCCAAGAAACATTCTAAGCCTAGATTGATGAGATGGGTGCTTGCTTTGCAAGATTTTGATATTGAGGTGAAAAATAAGAAGGGGTCGGAAAATTCAATAGTGGACCATTTGTCAAGGTTGGAGATCCGAGATGAGGGCATTGATCAACTTTCGATCAATGATGAGCTAAAAGATGATGTTTTGTATGTCATCCAAGCAAAGTCATTACCTTGGTACGCCGACATAGTGAACTACTTATCTTGTGAAGCAATTCCACCGGAGTTCACCCCTCAACAACGAAGGAAACTAAAGCATGAATCGAAGTACATATGGAATTATCCCATTTTGTACAAGATAGGGGTGGATGATCTTTTGAGAAGATGTGTTCCCGACGATGAAATTCAAGGTGTGCTTCATATGTGCCACTCATCACAATGTGGTGGCCATATAGGATCAAACAAAACGGCGGCAAAAGTGTTACATTGTTTGCTATTTTGGCTTAATCTCTTCAAAGATGAATGGGTCTTTGTGAAAACTTGTGACAAGTGCCAAAGAACTGGGAACAATTCAAGGAGGAATGGGATTCCTTAAAATCCGATCTTGGAATTGGAGGTGATTGATGTTTGGGGGATCGACTTCATGGGTCATTTTCCCTCATCCTATGGTAAACTCTATATCCTTGTAGCGGTGGATAATGTGTCGAAATGGCAGAAGCTCTTGCATCACCAAAAAATGACTCAATGGTGGTGATGAAGATGTTTAAAAAGATCATATTCCCAAGATTCGACGTTCCACGGACTGTGATAAGTGATGGAGGGTCTCATTTTGCTCATTGAACATTCAAGGCTTTATTGGCTAAGTATGGAGTTCACCATAAGGTTGGTTTATCCTACCATCCTCAAACAAGCGGCCAAACAGAGGTATCTAATAGAGAAATCAAGCTCATTCTTGAGAAAACCGTGGCTAGAAACAAGAAGGATTTGTCGGCAAAGCTAGATAACGCCTTGTGGGCATACCGTACGGCTTTTAAGACTCCCATTGGAACCACTCCTTACAAGTTGGTTTATAGAAAGTCTTGTCATTACCCGTAGAGTTGGAGTACAGGGCTCAATGGGCAATTAAGGCCTTGAATTTTGATCTCAAGAGTGCCAGAGAAAAGAGAATGCTAGACTTGCATGAGCTGAGTTGGGGAGAATGAATGCATACAATAGTGAAAGCTCTTACAAGGCAAGATCAAAGGAATTTCATGATAAGCATATCATCAAGAGGGACTTCAAGGAAGGTGATAAGGTTTTTCTCTACAACTCAAGACTAAAGATTTTTCCCGGAAAGCTTAAGTCAAGATGGAGTGGCCCTTTTCAAGTAATGAAAGTATTTCCTTATGGCTCAATCGAGGTTTGGAGTGAAAGCACTGAAACGTTCAAGTTGAACGGTCAACGCCTCAAGGTGTACTATGAGGGTGACAAAAGAGGTGTGGTTCACTCCATCAAGGTGAAAGAATTCAATGACTCCAATTAATGTGATCGGAAGAACGTCAAGCTAGTAACTTGATAAGTGTATAATATACTATATTTTTAGTCCCTAATATTAGTCAAATGGCCGCTTTATATTGGTTATTTCATGAATTTATTAACCGTAGTTATTTTAGATTTTATTTTAATCAATATTTTATTTTATAGCTATATTTATTTTAATAATTGATACTTAAGATTTTGTTGTGTGTTTTTGGTAGGAAAAAAAAAAGAAAACAAAAGAAAAGATAAGAAAGCAGCAACTACAACAGATAAAGAAAAGAAAGGAGTTACGTGAAAACCAAAGATATCCCAAAATCTCGTCAAGGCTCATCTTCAACAATATCATCCGAAGTTCAAGCAAATAGAAGATGAATTTCTATATTAAATTTTATCCTTCCAACCCAGAAAATCAATGGAGGCCGTTGTTTTTGGCTATAAAAAACCCCAAAACAATCATCTCAAAAACACGCACAACTACAACTAAAAATCTGAGAAATTAAGAGTGAAGGTTTCGATCGGGTCCCTGAATTGGAGCAATTGGAAGAGAAGACAACCATTGAAGGAAGCTTAGTCTCAATTTCAAGGTCGAGCAAGAACGACGGTGGATCGCGGGGTCAAAGCCAAGTATCATACGGGTGTTCTTGAGTACAACTTTATAAGTTCTTCTTCTTACTCAATTGTTTAAATTACATACCTTGTTAATTCCTTTACTACACTTTTTGACTTATTTTGATTTGATTATTAGCATATTACTTTGGTTAGTATTGTTAAATATACTCTGAGTGATTTTACCGATTTAATTATTTATTGAAAATGCTTGTTATTAGCGATAAATTTTACAATTACATGGTTGATTGTTATCTATCGTTGTGTGTGATTGTGAATGTTTGCTAGTTATATGGTTTAGCTTAGTTTACATCGTATAATGAAGTAGCCCCTTCTTATGTTAAATCTGCGATTATGGTTATCGTATAAGTTAGGAGTATTTTCAATCTACTTATTCTAAACATTTATGTGATTAGATTATTTAGGACTAATGATGTCTCCTAGTTTATAATGCTTCCACTTCTAAATTATGTGAGTTGCGATCATACTTGTATAAGTTAGATTGGTTTAGAGTCAATTTGGCTTAGTTCGTAATTGACTAAAATTAAGGGATGATAGAGAGTCTTTGTTATCTTAGGCTCTACACTTAGTCAGTAATTATAATTGGTGGTACTCAAGGTGAATTGTATGTCATTAATAATAACTAAATCAAGTAAGAGTTATATAATGGAGTGGTTAGTTGTGTCGTCAATAATAGTTTAGTTTAGTTTAGTCCGTATTTGTTTTATTAGTTTAGTACTATCTTAAACAAACCCCCCATTTTACGTACATATGTGAATAAATGTATACTATGTAAATTTCCGTAATATATTGTAATTTAGTTAAACATTGATTTAAGAGTTAAAAATCTCCTCGTGGGATCGACCCTTGCTTACCCTTTTACTAGTTGTTAATATTTTTGGAGGATAAGTTAGGTAAATAAATATTTAATTTTATACGGTAAACGACACGTATCATAACTTTAAAGAAGCGTTCCCGGGAGGCAATCCGTGTATTTTTGTTTTTACCTTAGAAAAAAAAATGATGAGAGAATTTGAACTAACACTTAACAATTTTGGGTGTTTATTTGCATTTTTCTTTTGTTGTAGGTTGATTAGCTCATGTGAAGAGAAAGGAGGGCAGATTCGAAATAGTAGTAAGGAGCGGGCACTCCAATAGAGGTGCATTCGCGCTCCAATACTGAACATGCAGCAGAATCACAAGCCAGATTAGGAGCGGGCAATCCTCAAGAGTCGCACGCCCGTTCTTGATTGAGCTAGCTTAAAATAGAATCAACAGCAAAGAGCAGGAGCGGGCGCTCCAAGTTGAGTGCGTGCCTGCTCTTGATTGTTCAAGCAGCTAAGCAGATTCACCATTATAATTTGGAGCGGACGCTCCGGGTAGAGTGCATGCCTGCTCCATACTGCCAAAGGTAACGGGATCTTTAACAAGGCTAGGAGTGGTTGCTTCAAACAATCTGGATGCGCGCTCCTAGAAGAAAAGAAACAAGACAAATTCTCCAGCCAAGTTTTGAAGTAGGCGCTCCAAGTAAGCTAGACGCCCGCTCCTTTCTGGGTTTAGAATCAGTAGCAAATGCATGAATAGGAGCGGGCGCTCCTCTAAGCCTGCATGCCCGCTCTGTCAATAAGCCATAGTTAAATTCTAATTTGGAGCGGTCGCTCCTGAGGCACTACATGCCCGCTTCAGACTCCTTCAAACAAGGCAGTAACTGTAGTTGCATGTGGAGCGGGCGCTCCTGGTGGAGTGCACGCCCGCTCCTATCCTCTCATCAACTCTCGGAAACAAAAGAAGGGGATTTTGAAATAATCAGAAGCTCAAAAGTTGGTTAGGAGCGGGCGCTCCAGTTACACAGCACGCCCGCTCCTGGGTTTGAAAACAGAATCAGTTTTGGAGTTCAGATTTGGAGTGGGAGCTTGGATACCACTGCACACTCGCTCCAGTCTTCGAAGAGGATTCAGTGAGAATTTTAAACGATTGGAGCGGGCACTCCACTCCGCCTGCCTGCACGCCCGCTCCAACCCAATCCGGGTAGATTTTCGAGATTCCCTTTTAATCTCTTTTCACCCTCTTTCATCCTCCACCTCTCATTTTACCCATATTCATCTTCTCTTTCCTCTTTTCCCATATCTTTCTCACACTAAAACCCTTATTCCCTCTACCTTCTCACTTCAAAAACATCATCAATCCTTCATATTTTTCACTCAAAATTCACAAATCCGGAATCTCCATCCAATTCTCTCTCTAAAAATCACAAATTTTCACAATTTTGAACAAGAATCTGAAGACCCACTAACTCTCCATAGCAAGAACAGTTATAAATTGGTGAAATCTTGAGGAAGGAGGGGCAATTTGAGAAGTCATGGAGGAATTTAGAGTATTTTCATACTCTAGTTGGTATAATCTTCATCTCTATTTCACTTCCCCTCTTGAACCTTAGGGTTTTTCTTCAATTTTCTTAACTTTGTTTATTTCATATGAATTGTATAGTTAATTGCATGATTAGTTGAAATTAAACAAATATTATTGCTTATTCAGAATTTTTGGTGAAAAATTGTGAATGATATTTGGAGTAGTTAATGTATGATTGAAAATTTCATAAGCTTGATGAATTTGTGAATTTTAATTGTGTGTAATTGTGTGTTGGAAATCTTTGCTGGTTGTGTTGTTATATATCTTGATTGATTGAAACAGGTACTTGGATTAATTTGGGGGTTTAAAGTTAAGGAGGTTGTTGTGTAGTGATTTTGGTAATTGTGGGTGTGGTGTGGTGTAATTGAGTGAAACCCCTTTTCCTTTCTCTAGTCAAAATGGTTTTGAGACTACTTAGAAGAGGTGGAGGAAAGAAAAGAAAGACTCAAGATGCCGGAATCCGAATAAATGAAAACTAATCCAATGAGGGCCAAACACAAAACCAAAACACCGCTTCACCAACTATTAGAATCCAAGAAAAATTAAAAAAAAAATACCATACCAAATTTTCAAAACGAAAAATCTTTCCAACAAGATTCTACGACCAAAAGACATGCCAGCTATTAGGGGTCGATGAAGGAATTCGACGTGTGGCCGACAATTTCGGATGGTTAAATTTCCTTAAAAAAAGGGAATTAACCTACGAGTCGATCACTCTAGAATTCCTTTCATCCATTTCCATGCGCCTGATTAATGGTGAAGGAGAGTCTCTTGAGTGTGAGATTAATCTTTGAATGGCCGACCTTCAACCAAATCTACGATCCTGATAGTTTCTACCTCTCTAGTTACGAGGAACAAGTTTGGTGGAACACTATAGAGGGGTACCCCAACTTTATCACCTGGTCTAGTCATTCTAGCCACATCATCCACCCCGTACTCCGTATATTCATGAGAATTATGGGGTACGCTTGCTTTTCGAAGCAAGACCTTGGGATGCTAACTAAAGAGGAGATAAAATGCCTCTTCGTAGCTTCTCGATTTTAGGGGGATCTCAAGGGTAATGTTAATATGGGATATTTGTTTATACAGAGGTGTTTGGAAATAAAGAGGAGTACGGATTTGAGGGGGGAGATAAAGTGTGGGGGTATGATCACGATTATTGCCAAGGCATTGGGGTTTACCGACTACCTTGAACAATTGACCCCAGTAAACGGTTCCAATGTCCTTGACATTCAAGGACTTTCTTCAATGCATATGCTTGTTGAAATCAAATGTCATGTGACCCAATACTCTTGGTTGGTCAAGAGTAAACACCGTTGCATGCTTCCCAATGCGGCGGTGATGAACACCGTGGGGAACACTTGGCAAGTTCCAATTGAGCCACTCCCCGCAGGTGTTCCCGACCTTGACCAACCATCCCAACCACGCCGCCATAGCATTTCTACCATTCCTAGATTTATGGGTGGCCCCTCCTCCTCTTCTTCTTCCTTCGACTTAGAATCGGCTTTCAACAACTTAACTTAACCAACTAACGAATTTTACAAGAAAACGAATACCAAAGCTACGTTCAAGAGATGTCTTATCAAAACCAAGTTGAGAGGGGAGACTTTCTTCCCTATGTCAACTATCCAAACCGCCCCGTTCAAGAAGGGCCGGTCCGGGGTGGAACAACAACCAACCCACCTACTCCTATTGGCAAGGCCCTCGTAGCTCCATTTCGGAGCTACGATTCTATCCTCCCTATGATTATACACAACCTGGGGGTTGTGACTCTAGGGGGACCCTTCTTATAATCACGTCCCCGAGACTTGTGGTAATATGACTCCCGAGGAGATCGATAACCACCCCTTAAGGGGATACTTTGGGTTCCCACCCGGGTATGATGGTGGTTGGGGCGTGAGTAGTGCACCGGATTTCGGTCACTACCGGGATTAGGGGTGTTCAGATCCGGGTACTCGCTTTTTCGGGTACCCGGATCTTCCGGTAATATAAAGCTCGGCCCATGTCCCAACGCTGGAAAATCGAGTACCCGAATTTACCGGGTCGAGTTAGCAAATACCCGGTTAAAATTTTATTTTTGGAGTAATTAGGCATAGAAAATTAAAAAGCAATTCAGTAACTCCAACTCCAATTAATATAATACAATCCAAATTTCTAAGTTAAAGTTTCGTATAATCATTACTCGTACCGTGTAACATTCAAATCCCATATCAAGGTCACAAAAAGACCTCAATTATTCATTATACAAATTGAACTATAAAACCAAAAATCAATTATGACATGAAATCAAACACCTCCACTCGCACAAATAGCTTCTTTCATCCCTCATCAAGCCACCACAAAATCAACCTCCAACTCAAACGAACACACTTCGACCTGTGAGAAGAAATTGCAATTGATGAATGGTGAGGTGTCGATTGTTGCGATGTTGTCATTGCTTGTTACTTGCATGCATTGGAGTGAAGATGTAGAGAAAATTATAGATCAAGCTGTGAGAAGAGAGTGGAGTGGTGGTCTCGTAGATGGGTGAATTGAAATTCAGAAGAACAAGGAGAATTGAAATTCTGAAGAACAAAGACAATTAAAAGATAAAAATTGAAAAAAAAGGAGAGAGAAAGAGATAAGGAATTGAGGATGAATGTCGGCTACCATAGAGGAGAGAGAATATGGTGGGTGGTTGGAAATAAAAACCTTAACCCTTAAAAACTGATTTATCGGGTCAGCGGGTACCCGCCACCCTCACAGGTCGGCCAATGACCCGACCCAAAAACATGCTGATTTTCTTGAGTCGGGTACCCGACCTGCTAATTTCAAATAAATAAAAAAAAATACCCGGTTAAATCAATCGGGTCATCAGGTCAATCAGGTCGGGTATTTTTGAACACCCCTAACTGGGACCGCCCCAACTATGATCTTCCTCCATATGTTGATCATCCCTCTTATACCGGCGATGTAGATCCAAACTACAACTATTTGCCATTGCCGCCAAGAGAGGATGATGAGGGTGATATGTAGACATTTGTAGTTGTCGTTCCCTTTCTTCCTTCCCGTCATTTGTAACACCGAGGCCGGTGTCGAGTTCTTACTTGGGGGGGAGATGTTTCCCATTGTGTACAATTTAGTATGGGAACGGTAAACAAATGTCTAGCTTGGGGGGGGGTCTTGAGGTCTTAGGTATTTGTGCATAGGGGTGGTTTTTGGTTTTGATAGTATGTGTGCTTATTTGTGACGCTATTTTTGTGCATATATTGAGAAGTTTGAGTTTAGATGTGGATTGTTTGGCATGTGAGGCTTAGTTTAGCCTTTGACACTTGTGGTTGGTTTCATATTGTAATATGTTCTAGATTGCTTGCCTACTTTAGGCTGGTCGTTGTTCTTTCATGATTATATGACATGTCTAGGCTAGAATGATTGCATGTTGATGTGTTTACCTTCTCTTTTATATGTGTGCATTAGAGAGTCCCTATTCTATGTTAGCTTTGGTCTACTTTGAGGTTGGTTATCTTGATGGCTGAATGCATGGCATGGTTGGTTTGCCTTTGGTCTCTCTTTGATGATGATATCTATGATGATGATGGTTGTGATGATTAATGAGTTGGTGATTCTTTTCCCTAATAATCCAAAACCCTAATATCCAAATCTTTTTTTCTATATCCCCTTCGCTTATCCCTAATATCCAAATTTCTTCTTTCTTCCCCCATCTTATCCCTAATATCCAAATTATTTCATTAGTTTACTCCCCCCCCACCCCACCCCTTAAAAAAAATGAAAAATGAATTATCTTTTTGCTTTAGATTGGTCCTGAATGATGATATTGGATTTCTTGTGGTGGATATTTGCTTTCTTTTGGTAATAAAATTTCGAGCATGGTTTAGATGCCCTTGGTTGAACATAGAACCGGCTAGTTTAGGCTAGTGTGAGAATAACCTTACCGAATTTACGATACCTAAAGACTAGGATTGTGGTAAGAAGGTGTCGCCTATATCGAAAGGATTTGAACCCTGAAAGGTAGTAATTGATCCTATATTGTTCCCAAAAAGTGAGGTTTTAATATTTTTCAAGCCTCCTACATTTTGAATGAGTGGCAAGGATCCTCTTTGATTTAGTACCTATATCGAGAACTAGAGTCCCAACTCCCAAGATCGCGGCCTAAACTACACTTAGTGTTGTTGAAGGTTGTTATGTATTGTTTATTCACAAAAAGTTAAGGCATATCGTCCTTGTTTCCTTAGTTCATGCGTTAGTTTATTGTAATTAGTAGTTTGTAATGTAAATTTTCAAGTTTGAAAAAAAAAAGAAGTGATGAATAGCCACCACCCTAGCAATTAAACAAGCTTGGGGGTGCGTTTTTGTTTCGAGTTTATTCATGGTTTGTGATTTGGGTCAAAGTTAAAAGCCTCCTTAGGTTTGCTCTTAACGTTGTACATCTTGGCTTGACTTTAAATGCAAATACTTCTAGTTTACCCTATGCCTTAACTTTGTGTCGTAATCCTCAAGTTGTGTAATGTTAGTAAGAGTAGTTGAAGCCATTGCCGGTGGAGGGAGTTGGTTCACACGCATATGGAAAAGGTACTTATCATTGAGATGTCGAGTGTTCTAAAACCTTCTTTTGTCTATTTTTCTTCCTGCTCCTTCAAGGAGTCATGAGACACTACCATTAGGGGGAATTTGAACTTTGTGTTGGGGACGTGGTAAGATTGGTTGAATGGACCAAAGTTGAGTACATTAGGAAAGGTTAGCTAGGCTTTGGCTAGTCATGACCGTGGTGGCGTGGTTGATCTTAGGCATATACCTCATGCTCGAGTTTTATTGCTTAAGGATTCTTTTATCTTTACATGTGCTTTTCTTTGAACGGACTAATCTATCAATTTCTTTTGCGCCAAGTGAATTGCTTGGGGACAAACAATTGGCTAGCTTGGGGGAATTTGATAAGTGTTTTATTTGTCCACTTATCACGACATTTTTAAAACAATCTTGTACTCTTTCTCCCACTTCAATCCCTTTGGTATATAATCGTAGTCTTTGTTGTTCCTGTACCTCTCTGTGTGTGTTCATGCTTGTAGGTGTAAGAGAAGACTTGACAAACTTACTAAGGCATTGAAGAACTTTATTGAAGCAAAGCATAAGAAGAGCGGGCATGTAACCACTGAGGAGAGGGCGCTCCTCCATCTTGCTGAGTTCCTGCCATTCAAGGAACTCAGGGAGGAATGGGCGTGCACCACAGGAGGAGCGGGCGCTCCTCCCCGAGCTGCCACAAACTGACTTCCATCTGCATTAGAAGGAGCGGGGCGCAACCTTCAAGGAGCGGGCGCTCCTAATCAAGCTCCAACAATTTGCCTTCCCTAATGCAGTGAGGAGCGGGCGCGCAGGAAGACCAGGAGCGGGCGCTCCAAGCATAGGAGCGGGCGCTCCTCACTGTAAATTCGATTTTCTTGACGGATTTTCCTATGTAATTTTTGGGGCATAAATACCACCCTTGGCTTCATTTATACGAACCTTCTTGTCTCCTAACTCCCTTAGATTCACTCTTATAGTTAGTGTATAGTTTTTCTCTCCCTTAGTTTAGATTTCCAAAAACTCAATCATTTGTAAGAATTAATTGAAGTTTGCTCTATCAATTTCAACAATTGTTCTCAATCTTGAAGCATTAATTAGTAACCTCTTTCTCTTTCCTTTGTTTATTAATTTTCTGAATTCTATCATTGTTTGATTCTAGTTCTTGTTTGATCTTTGTTAATTATTCTTGCATGTTCAATCTATCCTTGTTTTATCCCTCTCCTAGTTTAATTGAATTCATGATAACCCTAGATTTAATCGTTAGATTGTTTTCCACCATATTTAGTGAGTAGTTCCTTAGTTAGGGGTTGGGTGAAAACCTAACCAAGCCATGGTTGATTGACTTGGATCTCTTCATGTTTTACTTTGGGTTGATGTCTCTTTGTGCTTGAATTGATTATTGCATGTGTATTTTGGTGGCCACTTCATGCTCATGTGTTTATTTCCTTGCAAATGGATTATGCTATTTTCATGACTATGGATGTTTGGTTTTAATGACTAGGATTCTTTAGTGTGGTAATTAGGTGAGAAACAAACTCGAGAGACAAACTCGAGCTAGAAACCCACTTCCTATCATTGAGACTTACTCTTTATCATGACTATCTTCATGCTAGCCCGGAACGATCGAGAGACAAACTTGAGCGGGAAACCCACTTCCTATCATTGAGACTTACTCTTTATCATGTTAGTGTTTGATCTAGGAAATGCTTATGTTGTGACTTTGAAAGAAGACAATGTTAAGTTCCTATTCTATCACCCATTGATTATTTGGTTTGGTTAGTGTTGAATCCCGTTTCCCCTAACGTTCGTCTCTACAGAAGTTAACTAATCAAAATCCTAATTTGTAACCGGACTAGCTTATAATCGTTTCATACTCTTGGTAATCTTTACCCATTCCCTGCGGATACGATCCTCTACTTACCCTAAACTTGTCTTAGGTTGGTTTAGGTAGAAATATTGTTTGGCTTAGGGTGATTGTCCAACGACTGATTTATCCACTACTAGTGGCAGCTGTGGCTTGGCTAGGCTGGTACGGTGGAGGTTTTATTTTTTATTTTGTAAAAATTCTCTTAAAGTTTTTTTAATTATTTTTTTTACTTTTTTACTCTAGTTAATTTTTTTTTAATTTTTAATTAATTTATTTATTTTTATTTTTTTGACCAATCATATCTTGACACGTGTCAGTTGACTTTTTATAACAAGTTTTATGACCGGTTGGGACCATTAGAAGCAAATTCATATTAAAGTTCGGATTATTAAAAATTAATCAAAAGTAGTGATTATTTTGAGTGAATCGAGCAAAGTTGGGATTATTTCTGTCAATTTTTCCTAAGATTAATCTTAATGTCTAATTTTATAGTACAATTAATGTGAGATAGAAGGAGTAATGAATTTTTAGTATTCGCAATATGAAAGCATATTCTTTTTCTTAATTAATCAAATAGTACTCACTATTCATGTTATTCTTGTTGATAACAAAAAAATTAAAATAATAATAATAATACCTTTTGATAATATCCCATGTAGTATTTTTACTATATCATGTAACATTTCTTATTCTTTACGACTATATTTTTAATTTTTATTTAAATTATTATTGTTGGGCATCATTCCCTAGATATAAGGTCAAAACTTCTCCATGAGATATAGTAACAAACTTCATTAAAAAAAAAATAAAAAATAAAAAATAAAATAAATTGGTGGAAATTTTTTTATGAGGTGAAGACATGAGTACTTAAGGATAACTACGAGGATTACTTTAGTATATAGATATAGATGAGATGTTAACATCAACTATGTAAAGTGCTTAAATCATTTTCAGACGATGATTTGGATGACAAAAGCTATTCTGATAATGCCAAAGTTAATGATGAAATCTCTTTCTCCCTCTTTCAATGAGCTTACTACCACTACTTATATTATCTTAAATGGTGATTGTGTTGCCATGGTTATGATATAATGAAGTGTCTAATTTCAAGGCTATTTGCTCAAATGGTAGAGCAATGTACTCTAGTGTATAGGGTGTGGGTTCAAGCCCCACATAGCTTAAATAACACTTGCATATTGGTGTGTGGTCCTATTGTTGGTGTAATATTGGCCATTTGAATAACTTGTATCAAGTGTATCATTCTTGGTTAGGATCACTTAGGCCTTGTTTAGTTCACCTGATTTAAGCTGATCTGATCTGAACTTATATTTTCTGATCTGATCAGATCTGAACTTATATTTTCTGATCTGATCTGATCTAAACTTATTTTTTCTGATCTGAACTTGTATTTTTTGATCTGATCTGATTTGTATTTATTTTAATTATTTCAATATTCTACTTTTAATGTTAATCAATATTAATGTTTAATTATTATTATTATTATTATTATTATTATTAGTAGTAGTAGTAGTAGTAGTAGTAGTAGTAGTAGTAGTAGTAGTAGTATAGACCTACAAATTTTTTAAATAAACCTATAAGTCTTAAAATTACTAGATAGTATAAGGTAATAGAATTGGAATATTTGATAATTTTATTATTTACAATATCCCACTTCAGAAATGAATTTTTTTTATAAGAAAGTATTAAAATGGGGATCCTAAAAAAACTAAATTACAGATTAAATTTATCATAGCTTTTTTCTATATAGAAAAATGAGATTTGACTTGTTTTCAAATACCTTAATTCTTAAATAATAATAGGGATTTATGATGTATCGGATTTGATTTTATCGTTTGTTTGAACTAGCAACATTTTCTATGTCATTTTGTACTAATTTTAATTAAAGTAATGCGTAGCTATTATTATTGAAAACCTTATACGTATACTCCCTTCGATTTTAAATACCTTCTCCATTTCTACATGTGGGGAGTTTTAGGAAAAATTGGTAAACGTAATAATATATCGAGCTTGTGAGGTAAGTGGAAGAATAAAAAATTGTATAAAGCAAAAGTATTTGACAGAATAGGAGGAAAGAAAATATGAAATTTAAAAAATTTTACTTATGGGAAACGTTAGGCTTGTTACCAAAAATATGAAATTAAAAAATGAAAATATACATAATATGTCGTACGAAGATATTAATTTTTTTGTATAGGAAACGTTAGGCTCGTTTATTATTGCTTTTTATTTTTTATTTTTTTTATTTTTTTTATTTTAGGAAAAAAAGTAATATTTTGTAAGAAGATATTCAAATATTTTTGTTAAAACCACTTGATCAAGTATTATTGGTTTGATCCGAAGAGGGTGTTTATAGGAAAAAGCAAAGTATTATGTTTTCCACCTCAAGGCATACTTGAACTTTTTAATTATCTTCACTCTTCACTTCGAACAACGATCGAGAGATGTTTTGGACAATTAAAATCTCGATGGAAAATATTGACCATAATGCCAAATATGGACACTAAACATCAATTGGCAATTATGGTTGCTACATTCACACTTCACAATTTTATTCGATTACATGAGTTGGATATACCCATTGATAGTGGTATAGAAATCGAACCAAGAGCAGATTATGATTTGTTTAACGAGAATCGTAAAGCTGTAATGAATGAAGTACAACTTAATATAGCGATGGAAATTTGGAACTTCTTGTAATGAAAATTATATTTGTAAACGTTTATGATTTGGAGCTTATAATGAAATTTTAATTATTATCGTTTATTGTTTGTGCTATTTAATAATAATAATAATAATAATAATAATAATAATAATAATAATAATAATAATAATAATAATAATAATAATAATAATAATAATTTGTATTTAATCTGAACTTTTTTGATCTGATATGAACTTATTTTTTCTGGTCTGATCTGATCTGAACTTTTTTTTTCTGATCTAATCTGATCTGAATTTATTTTTTTTGATTTGATCTGATCTGAACTTATTTTTTCTGAAATAAGTAAAAATAAGGTGAACTAAACAAGGCCTTAAGTGCTTTTGGGTAGGATTACTTTTGCCTTAGGTCACTTTCATCCTTAATTACGATAACTTTTGTCCTTGGTTAGAGTCACTTTTCCCTTATAGTACGTAAATCATCAAGGTCACTTTTGTCTTGGTGGAGGTCAGTTTTCCCCTCAGTTAGGGTCACTTTCCCTCTCCGGTAAGGTCACTTTTGCCTTTAGTTAGGGTCATTTTTTCCTTAGTTTTGGTCACTTTTGCCTCAATTATGGTCATTTTTTTTCCCTTGACCAGGGTCACTTTTGTCCTTAGTTAGAATTAATATTTGTAAATTTTAAAACATACAAAATACAACCAATAGCCGGATTCGAACCTACATCCTCTATGAAATCATAGAGTGTTTGACCTTTTGAACTAATAGGCTTATTAACAAAACTATAATTCGTAGTACCAAGGATAAATCTCAGCCCTATATTAACTTTGCTCAAAGGGAAAATTTAAGAAATTCAATTCATCAACTTCCCTTTTAAGCTTCCTCTCTCTCTCCTCAACTCTGGCAGAAGTTATGATTTCCATCAAGAAATTATTAGGGAAGTTATTGTTCAACTTCCCCATAAATGATTGTAAATTCATTAATTTTAAGATCAATTTTGTTATTGCGACTTCATATTATTGATTTTTGGATATTTTTTTTTTTTTTTTTTTTTTTTGCGAGATTTCAGATTTTTAATTTTCGATTTTATTTGGCAAATTTATCAATTTTAATTTTAGGATCTTCTGTATGTGTTATCTAATATGTCCTCTATACAGAGCTAGGTGCCCGACAACACCTAAGACGAGTGTCCATGTTTCAATGTATATTGGCTGAATATACTGATTTGCCTCCTAGTAACTAAGAGTCCCTAGTACAAGATGTTTGCCTCCTAGTACAAGCAAAAGTAGCAGAAATGATTTAGGGGAAAAAAAAAACCTTATTTTAACAAATTATTTTAGCCTAGTCCCTAATGTTTAAAGTAAAGTATATTTTAGCTAGATTAAAGAGCTAGATTGGAGTAGGGCAGTGAATAAGGAATCACTTGAGACTTGGGTTTAAAAGATGTTTCCCACAAATCAGAGTTAAGTGTATCAAACAAGACGACCATCAAGTATTAAGTGCTACTATAGATGACACAATGTAGTGGCTTCTGGC